TATTTTGACGTTAATATTTGGTTGATTAAAGATTGTGTTGGAAGATAACCAAAATCCAACGTCGAGCCAACATTTTAAACCAACATCATATTGATGTCAAATACTGACATTTATTTATCAGGTATGGCAATCAAAATCATAGGTCTGAAAGAAGTCATAGTGGTAACATCCACACAACGTCAAGCTGTAACATCATTAGACATTGATATTTGGTTGAATTTAGGTTGGAGGTTGAACATTGACGATGGTCTGATGTTGGTTCTGATGTCCACCTGATTTTTATTTCCAAAAAAAATGTAACGTCCCCATGACATTGGGGTACAAAGTCAATGTGACCTCATGTAGACTTCCTGTGCCTGCTGTGAAACTAATTCTGTATATTAAGATTGGTTTAAATGTTTGATATGACTTATTTACGTTACTACGATTAATTAATTGTTCATTAATTGTATTAATTATTAATTAATATGTTTTCTACTGTATATATATGTAGATTTTGTTCATTCTTGGATGAGTAAATAAACAACATTAATAATATGTAGACAAAAACATAGGTGAATAAAACAAACTGATGTATTCAATATATTTTATGTTAGTTTTAACAAATTATGTTAAATATAACACATACACACACACTGACACTTTTGCATTATGTAAATAAGATAGTAAAAAAGTAGCAAAATATTCATGTCTATATCTAGAAATATAAGCAAATATTTGATTTTCAGTATAATATTCCCTATTTTCGTGCTTTCTTATGCACACAAATACATAAGTACATAGCTGATGGATTATTTATTAACCAAACAAACAAACATTATTGCACAGACAAAGCACATTTTCTTGTACTAAATCAAAGTAGGCTGTCATACAGCCAGTCATAATATTAATGCTTCTAGTCAACAAAATAGTTCAACTCCAGATATATTTCTTTTGGAAGAACAGTGTGAGTTGCAAAATGGATAATAGGATGCACATGTGGACAGCAACACCGCAGACCACCAATGCTTATCTTTACTTACCTATTTCTTCCAGTACTTGCAACTGTGTGTGTGTGTGTGTGTGTGTGTGTGTGTGTGTGTGTGTGTGTGTGTGTGTGTGTGTGTGTGTGCGCGTCAGTTTTAATCTGCTTGTGTGAACCAAAAGCCCTACAAGAATAGTAAACCCAGAAATCGCCATCAGACAATGGTTACCACATAAATATGTACCAATAAATATGGTAAACAGTCTCTTTAATGTATTCACACAAAAATGAAAAATCGATCATCGTTTACTAACCCTCAACTTGATCTAATCGTCTTTGAGCTTATTTTGTCTGTTAAACACAAAATGAGATACTTTGAAGTATGTTGGAAATTAGTAGCCATTGACATCTATATGTATTCATTCAATGATTTCAATAATGTTATTATTTATTTTATTTATTTTTGTTCATTAATTCCAATGGTTACCAGTTTTCAAAATTCTACAACTATATATTATTTTGTGTTTAACAGAATAGAAGGGCACATGAAGATCTGAAGCCACCCAGAGCAGGACTGGGGCAAAAAATCGGCTCTGGCATTTTGGGCCAGAGCAGGCCACTACATTCAATCAAATTGCTATCTATATGTGCATGTTGTCAACTCCTATTTTATGAAAGCCATACACACACACACACACACACACACACACATATATACATATATATATATATATATATATATATATATATATATATATATAAACGAAAAAAGAGCATCTTACTTTCAGAGTCACAGCATCGTCAATTAATTAGGCAGAAAAAAACTATAGGCTGCTAAGCCTTTTATGGGCCGATCAGATATTAGACTATGATCAGCCTGGCCCAAAAAGTATATCGGCCCAGCGGGAAACTGCCCTGTTTGCCAGATGGCCAGTCCACCCTTGAAGCCACCTAAGCACAAGTGCTGAGTCAATGCTTTTAGCTTGAACTATCGATTTAATGAAAATGTAAACATGTCAAAACATCGGTTCATTCTGCTGTGGCAACCCCTGATTAATAAATGGACTAAGCCGAAAAGAAAATGAATGAATAAATATGTAAAAACAAAGTGTTTGTGATGGTTAAAGGGATTGTGCACACACACACACACACACACACACACACACACACACAAATGCATAAAAAAATTAATAAAATGTGAATGTTTATTCACTATTTACTTGTTCTAAACCCATTTGAGCATCTTTCTTCTATTAAAAACAAAATAAGATATATTGAAGAATGTTGATAACTATAATCATTGATTTCCATTCGACTTTATCTGACATGTTCTACTGTAAACGTCAGTCAGAACCACTGTAGATGTTTGAATAATGTTTCCAGTATTCAAAATATCTTCTTTTACGTTCAACAGAAGAAAGAATCTCAGAAAGGTTTGGCACCACTTGAGTGTAAGTAAATGCTAAGTAAATGTTCATGTTTGGGTGAACAATCTGACTGACAATCTAAATTGGTCATCATTAAAACAGCAGAAGTCATTGGCGTGATTTATTTATTTATTAATTTTTTAAGTATGCGTTTGTTTGTCTGCATGTGTTCGCGAGTGTACATATTCTGTGTGTGTGTGTGTGTGTGTGTGTGTGTGTGTGTGTGTGTATACGCAGTCATGGGGGGAGAGAGGATATCTCACATTTCCCCGCACGGAGACCCTCCCTGTTTCAGGATGACTCACACCTCTGCAGTGGCTGACACTCTCACCTCATTCACAGCCCTTAACGAGCCATGCTAATGAGCACCACATCATTAGGCAGCTCCGCTCACCTCTGTTTGCGAGCCAATCACAGGAACGATGATGTAACGCTGACCGAACCACAGCAAGAGAGCAGATACACTTGTTCATTCAACATTTCTGTTTCGTCCAATAGCAGAAGAGCATGTCGTATGTTTTGCTTACAAATGGACGACCTTGGGATTTTGAGGAGAGTTTGGAGACGTATGGGTGGACGGGGCAGTTTTGTGGTCACTAAGAGAGGAGATTGCTTTTGTAAGCTTGTCATATATGTGCTCGTCTTACCTTCTAAGGGGAAACTATAGTGAGATGTCCAGCGCTCAGGGCAGTTTCTTCCATCATCAGGGGTGAGGGTGATGTAAGGTCTCTGAAGGGCTAGTGATTGCCCTCTAGGGGACAGAGAAAACAGGAAGCCTTGGCAGATGCAGAGTTTCAAGTAACACCGCTGACTGCTAACCACAGTGGACAGGGAAAGGGAGCTGCTGGCTTTGAATTAAGCACACTGTGAACTGCTGTTTACTTTAGAGAAAACTGGATTTTTTTTTTCTTGGAAGAATTTGTTTGTTAAATGGATAGCTGTTATTTCTTATATATTATTCAAAACAATAATACAATATTTACAAATTTAACATAACACATTTGCTGTTACATATTTACTGTTTTTTAAATTTTTAATGCATATTATTGTCATTTGACACAATTTGATGAGTTGTAATTATCTTAGTTTGGAATTTAATACATTTCAAATAATGACCATGTATAATTGAAGAGCCCATGTATTTCTATAAGGTTGTTTTGATAGTTTTTGATCTATGTTATATTTATTTTTATATTCAATTTATAATTTTTATAAATATTAAACATATTTATTTCACCTCACAGCAAGAAGGTCACTAGTTCGAGCCAGCCAGTTGGCATTTCTGAGTGGAGTTTGCATGTTCTCCCTGCGTTCGCGTGGGTTTCCTCCGGGTGCTCCGGTTTCCCCCACAAGTCCAAAGACATGTGGTATAGGTGAACTGGGTAAGCTAAAATTGTCCATGGTGTATGTTTGTAAATGAGTGTATGAGTGTTCCCGGTGATGGGTTGCAGCTGGAAGGGTATCCGCTGCATAAAATATATGCTGAATAAGTTAGCGGTTCATTCCGCTGTGGAGTCCCCAGATTAATAAAGGGACTAAGCCGGAAAGAAATTGAATGAATCAATGAAATTTAATACATTTCAAATAAGTAACATGAGTCCATGTATAATTATATATATATATATATATATATATATATATATATATATATATATATATATATATATATATATATATATATATATTTAAGGGTGTTTTGACTATGTTTTATTTTGGAAAAATACATAATTGAAACAATATTTCACCCGACTTAAAAAAAAAAAGTCCATATAATGTGAGATTACATATATTAATCTAATCTATTTGTGGCCTTGATAAACTTTCTGGTTTGATGTGTAATAGTATATATTGGATTATTTATAAACAGGTGTTGATTTAATTATTATTATTTTTTTTTTACAGTCCATCACACTCTATAACACAGGATAACATAAAGTTGTGCTTTTGTCATGATAATGGCAACAGTATACCAAATAAGTAAACACCATACACCATATAAATATTGTGAGACACTATAATAACACTATAACAACAAGCCCTTGTAATTTACATTAACATTCTTAATTTTGTTCAGCTAAATAAAGAGACGAAATGCTACTTCTAATCTAGAATGATTGTATTTTTTTTTTATTAAAAAGCTTTTCTTCCTATAAACCATCCCAGAAGACAGAATATTTCCCCCAATTGAAGAATCACCCATATCTGAACACAGGAACAGTGTCCAAGCGCCACCTTCAGTTTTTTTTCCTTTATGAGAGAGAAAGAGAGAAAGTCGGGGTGGTGAGAGAGACAGTTTCAACGCACAAATGTTTTCATAACATACGACTCTCTCCTTTAGTCTAACGGATCCTGCAACATTCATAGCGCGCGGTTTGTTTGTTTAGTTTGTCTTGTTTATCTGTTGACGCTAGCACTGAAGTTCAGTTTGTCTGGCGGCGCGCGTGGCTCCAGACGGGAGCGCGTAAAGGGTTAAAGCGCGCTGCTTGGAGTCTATAGGGCGGAGTGGAGTGGATGTGATTGGAGCGCTACACATGATGTCATGTACATGAAAAAGCCAAGAAGTAGTTAAGAAGGCGGCTTGTAACTCTGGAAAGAGTGGGTGAACCTCTGAGTCGCAGAGAGCAGACGTACACACGGGTTGATATTTTGGACTGACAACGCACGGCAACGGCACCATGGTGCAGCAAACGGACAACAGCGAAACGGACAGCATGTCTAGAGAAGCCACTGACTCTGATGAAAGCGAATTCATGGTCTCGATAAACCCAGACTGGTGCAAGACAGCCACCGGACACATAAAGCGACCGATGAACGCGTTCATGGTGTGGTCTAAAATCGAGCGGAGAAAGATCATGGAACAGTCTCCAGACATGCACAACGCCGAGATCTCCAAACGCTTGGGGAAGCGCTGGAAAATGCTGAAAGACAGCGAAAAGATACCTTTCATCAGGGAAGCCGAGAGACTCCGGTTGAAACACATGGCTGACTACCCCGACTACAAATACAGACCGAAGAAGAAACCAAAGCTGGACAGTTCATCCAAACCTTCAGCCCCGTCTCCGGAAAAGTGCAGCAAGACTTCCAAGAGCTCCAAGAAATGTCCCAAACTGAAAGCGAACAAGACGGGGAGCAAGTCGTCGTCTCACGGCTACGGAGACGAGTACGCGTTCAAGAGCACGAAAGTTTCAAAGACTGTTCACATTAAAAGTGAATTCACGGACGAAGACGACGATGACGACTCCGAGGAGGACTCTCGGGTCAGGGTGAAAGAGGAGGAAGAGGATCCGATACGAGCCTACAATGTAGCAAAAGTTCCCGCCAGCCCAACTTTGAGCTCGTCCACCGAGTCTGAAGGCGCCAGCATGTACGAGGAGGTCCGGAACAACAGACTCTATTACAACTTCAAAAACATCACCAAGCAGAGCACAATGTATCCCGCATCCGTCTCACCAGCATCCTCTAGGTCCGTTTCCACGTCTTCCAGCTCGAGCGAAGACGCGGACGACTTGCTTTTTGACTTCAGTTTGAACTTCGCCTCCTCCGCGCAAAGCTCGGAGCTGGGCAGCCAAAATCCAGGGAATCTCTCCCTCTCTCTGGTGGATAAGGAGTTGGAGTCTTTTAGCGAGGGCAGCCTGGGCTCCCACTTTGAATTTCCAGACTATTGCACGCCTGAGCTCAGCGAAATGATAGCTGGGGACTGGCTCGAAGCGAACTTTTCGGACTTGGTTTTTACATACTAAATAAGACTATTCCCAAGTAATAACACACACGGGAGAGAGGTATAATGCTCTGTTCTGTACGTATTTCTTTCCCCTGCCTTCCACTGCTGGTCCACCTATAGGGGTTTTGGGACGAAGGCGCGTATGGCAAGCTGTTTAAACGTTTATTTCTAGAAACTACTTTGTGTCTATCAGTACATTTTTTAAACTGCAAGTAATTCAGATGTGAATAGTATGTTTTTTTGCTTTTTAAAGGAAAAAAAATGTGATTACCAAAAAAATGTGACTGTGTTATTACAATGGACAGTTAACCAGGAATAATAACTAATTAAAATAGTACTGGTTGCTCAGTAAACACAGCAGCATTTGGAGACACGTCAAAAGATATAGCAAAGGTATATGAAATAAATAAACTATTTAAAGAACAATCGGTAGTGAAAATAATAAGATAAAATGTATAGTTTGTATTGGATTGCTTTCATGTAATTAAGTAATAATAACGAAACAGATACTTTTTAGTTTGAAGGTATAAATGTTAAAATGGCTTGCCATAAGGCAGGGAGAGGTTTGAGGATTTAGATGCTCATGAAGCTGGTACTGTAGCAAAAAAAAAAAGAAAAAAAGAAAAAAGTCTGCGGACATTTTTCCCCCTTTTTTTTCTGGCAGCATGACAGGGTTTTATGGATTTTTCTGTAGGTCTACAATTACTGTTCAACTAAAGCGGACCACAAAGGGAAAATCTGAGAACTTCTATGCATCTTATACCCTCTTTCTAACTGCAGGGAGCTGAAAATGTAAAGACTGTGGACTGACTCAAAGCAAATCTGTGAACTATTACTGTTCAGGACATTTCTTTTAAAATGTTGTTCAGTCATTTCTAAATACCGGATTTTTTTTCTTTACTTTTCTTTTATTTTTTTAGTGATTCTGATTCTGTTTACCTACTGGTTTGAAACTTAAGCAGCCTAAACCTCCTTAGAGTTGCAGGTGTTCGAGGAAGCATTTTGATACATAACAGACCTCATCTTTTTAAAAGAAAGCAAACTATTTTCAGGCATATTTTTGTACAGTTACAAAGGGAATGTTCTTACTGGGCACTCAGTGAGTTTCAGGCACTTCTTCCCTTTATCATTTGTTTTAAAGCATGCAAGGGAGTCCTGGTTTAAGGATTAAGTTTAAATTAAAACTTGCATCAAAAATGCCTTGTGATTTTAAGCTAGGTTTTGTACAGCTGTAGATCAAATTTGTTGAGTATTTGTAGGACATATGGCATTGGGGAGGGAGGAGATGTATACCTCAGTGCTGGTATTAGTTTCAAGATTGTATATGTACTGTAAAATAGTAAAGTTAGGAGTTTATGTATATCATACTCGTGATATGTGGATGGGTCCCAAATCGCAGGTGTGAGACTGGATTTGTTATCTTTTTTTTATTTTTTTATTTTTTATGGCACATACTGTTTCCCCTTCATTTTTTGTGCAATATATTTACTTGTAAATGCAGACCATCTACATTTTTTTTTTGCATTTTTGTAGCAAAATGATGGACAGGCAGCGTTCTGCTGTGTTAACATCATTATTTGTCATAATGCTGAAGTCATTGATGAATAAAGAAATCAGCTGGAACTGATCGTAACTGAATATGGTCACACAGTGTGCTTTTCTGTGGAGGAAAAACCCCACCATTTCTCTTCAAACTGACCCACAAATTTGGACAATCTACGTCCTGCAGCCAATTTGAATATGACTCGTTATTTTATTTTATATTTTTGAATATGTGCCATAATGGGCAAATAATGAATGTCGGTGGTCTGGCTGAAGAAAAAAAAAAAAAAAAACAAGAAAGCAAAAAAGGTACATTCCATATCCTTGTTTCATATGATGAAACTTTTATTTTCAACTCAAGACTGCCGTCTTTTCTATTAAAAACAACAACTACAACAACCATAAACCTGTATTTTTGTTTCTTGCACTTAAACATATTTTGTTTATTTTTATGTGGGTCTGACATGAAGTCTGTTTTTGATACAAGGTTTGGAATATGATAGACTCTTTGCCAGGGAACATGGTGAAGCAAGGCAGCCTATAGCCTCACATTCCAAATGTGAACCTCTCTTTGACTCATCTTTTAATAAACAAATACTTACCACCATAACATCTCCTCTCCATTTGTCAAATGAAATGATGACATCATCATTTATTTAAAACGGACGGACTCTGCATGAAAAAAAAAAACGAGGTCAAAATGTTTCACATAACCTAATTTCGCTCTGAAAATGCATCTTTCCTGCCAGCAACCAGTAAAACCCATACATTTAAATCAAAACAATCCTTCCGCTTCTCCCGGTCAAAGCAACGGCCCCTTTAAGAAATCAAATTTAGCGCTGTTTGAAAGTGGTGTACTGTGATTGGTGGGATTATGTGGCCTGTTGGAGAAAAGAGAAAGCCCACCTCCTCCCTCAAACCCCCCGACTCACACTGCCCTCTTTTTTTTTTCACTAGTGACCGGTCATGCAGCTCACAAAAATAGGTTAAAGCAAGAATACACAAACAGTCTTAAATATAATCTGTCATTAGTCATTTTAAATCAATATGCGTTTAAAAAGACGATTACTGGAGCATTACCGTGGTCACAATTGCTTTCAGCCCCTGTTTCTGAAGCATGTTTTGAAATGCCTGAATGCATCTCTTAACCCTCATGCTATTATTTATTTATTCATTTATTTATTCAAATCTGGGTAAGATTTCTATGTTTTGGACCAAACAGACCTTAAATGGATTTAAATCATTTTATGTTAGACTAAAAACAAACAAATAGTAATGAGATCAAATAATAAAAGCAAAACTGTTATCTATCTATCTATCTATCTATCTATCTATCTATCTATCTATCTATCTATCTATCTATCTATCTATCTATCTATCTATCTATCTATCTATCTATCTATCTATCTATCTATCTATCTATCTATCTGTCTATCTGTCTGTCTGTCTGTCTATCTATCTATCTATTTACAGTGTTTGGCATAATTGAATACACCCCGTTTTGAAAATGATTATTTTTATCCATTTCTCAGGTAATAGGCAATGTATTTTGGTGTATTTAAACAAAACAGATTTTCTTAAACATATATTATTAAAATTAAATATTTTTATTAATAATTTTTTTTGTTTTGCTTCTCTTGATTTTTCCTCCTTTTTAAATTTGTATTTAATATTTTTCTATAACATAAAGTTAGGTGTACTAGTATTTGGACTGTTATTGTAAGTTAATTTGTTAGATAAGCTTCAGATTTTGACTTCAGTTCTACTATTCTAATGTATATACACAAACACAATAGTGTATACCTTCCTGTTAAAAATAGGAATTTAAAATATGAATAAAATATATAAATATATGTATATAAAATATGAATTGCACCATCTATCTATCTATCTATCTATCTATCTATCTATCTATCTATCTATCTATCTATCTATCTATCTATCTATCTATCTATCTATCTGTCTGTCTGTCTGTCTGTCTGTCTGTCTGTCTGTCTGTCTGTCTGTCTGTCTGTCTGTCTGTCTGTCTGTCTGTCTGTCTGTCTGTCTGTCTGTCTGTCTGTCTGTCTGTCTGTCTGTCTGGTTGTCTGTCTGTCTGTCTGTCTGTCTGTCTGCTTATTTATTATGTGCCTTTGTGAACACCTCATGTTTCATTCCCAACAAAATGACCATGCTTGCCCCAGTGTTATTTTATTTTTTAAATTTAATTAAATTTAATTTAATATATTACAGTTATTCTCAGTCACTTTGGTCCATTTCTTGAATCCGCATTGAAATTCCCAAAAAACCTGTTCAATCTTGCAGTTTTTCTTAGTGGCTTTTTTTTTTTTCATTTCTCACAACACTATTTACATTTGCACAACGATTAATGCATTTCTCAAAACAATTAGTCATTTGTGCACATCATAGTAGCAGTTTCTCATTCCTTTCAACAAATTGCAAATGCTTTTGGACATGCATCAATTGCTTTCACACAACTCTCTGCTGTTTTATAACATTAACATTTGCTTACGTCATGTCAGTCAAAGTGAACTAAACTTGAGAATGCTGAATAGTCCTTTCATATAAAACTAATAGTCCTCATTTAATTACTTGAGTCATTACATACACAAATGTTGAACTAGTTGTCAATATCTGTCAAACTAATTTTATAAAAACATTTTTCCTGCAAATGTCTTCTAAATTGAACAATTGCATGAATGATTTACAGACCTATGTGTGTTCTAGGTTTAATTCCAATATGTACTGCAATGTTGTTTGCAGTTGTGCACAGCTCTACCCAAAGCATGTTTATGTTTGTTGTAAAGGTAACACTTTACAATAAGGTTCATTAGTTAATGCATTTACTAACATGAACTAATCATGAACAACACATGTACAGCATTTATTAATCATAATTGAACATTTACTAATGCATTATTAACATCCAAGTCCATGCTTGTTCACATTAGTTAATGCACCATGAGTTAACATGAAAAAACAATGAGCTACTGTATTTACATTAACTAACGTTAACTAACATGAACAATTACAGTAGTAGATGTATTGTTCATTGTTTGTTCATGTTAGTAAATGCATTAATTAACATTAACTAATGAACCTTATTGTAAAGTGTGACCGTTGTAAATAAGGGTGTGTTTATTCTTTTGCACAACGTCTTGTACTCCGATACCTCACTAAATGCAGTGATGTCTAACTTTACTGTAGTTTTCAAATGGCTGTGCAAATGGTATCTGGTGTTGTCTTGAGCATTTTCAGGAAGTGTCACCAAAATCTGACTTTTTTTTTTTTTTTTTTGCATTGGACATATGTACAGAGTAAACTGTCATAATGAAAAGATGACAAAGCCATTTGACTATCTTGTTCATAAACAATGTTGTCAGGATTTTTCTTGTTGACACTGACACTTTCATTGACATGAATACTTGCTTTTGAGGAATGAGCTATCCTTTTTGAGCAAGTGACACGCTTTTGAGGTTATCAGCTAGGTTTTGCAGTTTGTACTGATTGTTTTGAGAAATGCACTAACTGTTGTGCAAATGTAAATAGTGTTGTGAGAAATCCACCAAAGCCACTGAGAAAAACTGTACAAATGTTTTTGTACCTCCTTGCATACGATTATGTGCAATTCTCTGCTATTTCCTTTATTATCAATTGCCTATGTCATGTTGATCAGCATATATTATTTTGTTCTCTATTAAATAGTCTTACCTGCACATAATTTAATATCTTGTTCATGGCATGAGTCTTTAGATGAAAAATGGCTTTCTATATGGTTTTCTATAAATTTCTTTTAGACTTTTTTTTCTAAATCTGTCGACAGCTGGTACCTTTCTCCCAGGTAAAAAAAGGTCTAAAAGGAGCTTGTCCTATGTTCACATTTTTACTTAAGTTTTTTCTTTGTTTTTTACTGTGCTGTCTATTCCTTTGTGTATCACAATGAAATAATCTGTCAACAATTTACAGTACAAACAGCAAAATAAATAAATAAATAAATAAAAAATCATTGTTTAAAACAACACCTCTCCAGAGTACACTGTAGTTTTGGCAACATGACTAAGTAATTTGACTGTCTTATCCATACACTGACACAAGGAATCATAATTCTGACGGCACTGGCTTGTTCATTGATACAGAAATTTAGTTTTGAGAGATGAACTAAGGATTTTGAGCAAGAGACTGGGTTTTGCAGCTAATCCATGGTGTTTTGCTATTTGTACATGCTGTTTTGAGAAATGCATTTGCTGTTTTACACATTTCAATTCTGGTCTGAGAAATGTACCAAAGCTACTGAGAAAAACTGTAAGTTAATATCAGCGTTTACCAATACACTGCACAAAGTTGTGTTTGTTAGCATTGGTTAATGCACTTTATAATGCAATTATAATTCAATTTCTATCAGCTTGCATTAGTTAAATATTAAATTAAAACATGTTACTGTTAAGGCGACGCAGTGGTGCAGTAGGTAGTGCTGTCACCTCACAGCAAGGAGGTCGCTGGGTTGCTGGTCGAGCTTCGGCTTAGTCAGTTGGTGTTTCTGTGTATAGTTTGCATGTTCTTCCTGCATTCGCATGGGTTTCCTCTGAGTGCTCCGGTTTCCCCCACAGTCCAAAGACATGCGGTACAGGTGAATTGGGTGAGTTGTTCCGTAGTGTGTGTGTGGATGTTTCTCAGAGATGGGTTGCGGCTGGAAGGGTATCTGCTATGTAAAAAGGTGCTGGATAAGTTGGCGGTTCATTCTGCTGTGGTGACCCTGGATTAATAAAGGGATTAACCCGAAAATAAAATGAATGAATGAATGAATGAATGTTACTGTTAAGTTTAAACTTATTACAAAGTGTAACCAAAAGATATAATGTTTCATAAAAAAATAATAATAATAAATTAAAAGGTTCATTTATGACATATAATTACCCTCTTTTTCCTTAATTGCAACATTAATTTGCAATGGATCTCTCTTGTATTTTAGATTTTCTCATGGCTGGTGTTTTTATGCGAGTGTGCAAATGCTCTAAATGTGAAAGAAGCAAAGGTAAACGCATTACATCATCTAGATGTAATCGTTTGACATGCATGGATGTACTGTATGTATTTAGTTTGGCCATTAAGTCAGTGAGGGCATCGGTAATAAAACATTTATCTGGCTATTACTTTACCTGACCTCTTGGTCAAAGTTACTAATGGATTCAGGGAGCGATTCCCTACAGAATGTGCACATTGATTTTGTGCTCGTCTGAAATATCTGGTCCGGCCTAATGCCACCGGAACGCACTGAAATGAAATTAGTGACCCGTTAAAATTTCCCTCCATTTCCTCTTTAAATAAATGGAAATTTGAAATGCTTGGGAGACATTGAGTAGGATAACATCTATCAAGTCTGGTGGTTGGAAACTGGCGACAAAAGAAAGTCATTTCCAATGCCTTGAGCTCTTAAATCATTCATAAAATCTGGATGTCATGGCCAAATGCCACATGCGACATCTACATAAAGACTTCTGGAGAAGAAGCGAATGGTTTCAGAGCGTTTTTAGATTGGATGTGATGCTCAAAAGTCTTCCTCTAAGATGATTTGAAGCTTTGGGTTGCACATCTATGTCATTCTGCTTC